GTCTTCATGGGGAGAGATTATGTACTTCTAACAGTTCATTCTGGGGAGGAACTATTACAGCTTGCTCAATGTTCCTCAGGATACAGAATAGTCTCCTTGGAAAACTGTAAAAATCCAGGGAAACTACTTGAAGTTATTTGAAAGCTGAGTCAATTTACTATGCTCAAGCACCTTTCGTTCTTTCATTATGAAAATGAAGATGTAGTCAGGACTGGTAGATGATGCCTGTAATCCTAGCTACTACTCAGGAGGCTGAGGTTCAAATCCAGGCCAGGCATGCAAATCTATGTAATCAGCAATAAAATCTAAGTAATCAGCAATATAAGCTGCAAGTGAAGATATAGGTCAAGTGGTAGAGTGCTAATATTGTATGAAAAAGCTAATCAAGAGTGGGGAGAGGGAAAGGAGGAGAAAAATGAGAGAAAGGGTAACAAGTCTGACAACAAATGCACTTATTACCTTATTATGTAACTGTAACCCCTCTGCACATCACTTTGACAATAAAAAATGCAAAAAAAGAGTGGGAGGCCTGAGTTCAGCATCTCAGTACTAGCAGAAATAATAACAATAATAATGAAAAATTTTTAAAGATATATGTCAGAATATAGTTTCCAGGAAATTAATTCTTTCAAAGATGATTGGATTCCTTGCATCGTTTACTTTTTCAAATGCAAATTCCTTCTCACAACCCCTAGATTATATACATAATAATCCCATTAAACTTTCTAGAGATAAAAATCACTCAACAACAATCTTCAACTTTTCTTTTCTTTTTTTTTTGGGGGGGTCCGGTCATGGGGCCTGAACTCTTGGCCTGGGTGCTGTCCCTCAGCACTTCAGCTCAAGGCTAGCACTCTACCACTTGAGCCACAGCACCACTTCCAGCTTTTTTTTTTCTGCTTATATGGTGCTGAGGAATCAAACCCAGGGCCTTAAGCATGCAAGGCAAGCGCTCTACCACTGAGCCAACTTCCCAGCCCCAATCTTCAACTTTTCTAATAAAGCTCCAGTCCATTTCTGATTGCTTCCCAGGGAGGGTAGGTGAGTATTCAGTGTCCTTACAGTAATCTTGCAGAGTCACTGTTTTAAGGATTCTATTTTTCCCCTCCTGAGATGGAATCCCAGGCTCAGCTTTCACTCCATGGCCTATGCAATACTCAGCCTTCCCCAGGCTGATGTGACAGTGCTACCTTTGGCTCTTCAAGGAGATTTCACTGTTACTGGATCTGAAGCAGCTACTCAGTTTGCACAGAGGCACAGAGCATCCCACAGTAGGAAAACAGACAGTCACCACTGAAACTCTTGGAAACCAACACCCAGCCCTTTTATGGAAACTGAAGTGGGAAGAGATTCACAAGGAGATGGAGTTTATCCTCTACTGGATTGACGGGTAAGAGATTACATTCTATCTACCTGCTACGACTGGAAAAAGGAAGAGCTGTCCGTAACTGCTCAAGATAGAGGGACTTCAAAGCTACAAAGGGTCTGCAGGACCCATGCCTCTGTTGTATGGTCTGACTGAGGATACTGGCAACCAGAAACCAATGGGAAATTTATTTTTTAAAAAAAACATAGCAGAGAGCACTTAAGAGATAATCAATTCACTCAAACTCTAGAAGGCAATATTTTTCTGTGTTCATAAAAGGAAAATCAAATGAGGTCATATAACTAAGCATAGAACCTGCCCCAGGCAGAGCTGATGCTGCAAGCCAGGTCATCAGCCACAGCTGCTATCCTTATTTTATTAAGTGTTGTTCTGTTTTGAGACTTGGAAGCGGTAAATTATAATTTGCAAGATCATGATTAATCGAATATATTGCAGCTTCATTTATAGACTTCGGTTTACAGTAGGAACCACCATTCCTTTTTGAAATATGGCATATATATATATATATATATATATATTCTAGAGAACATTCCACATCAGCACATAGTGATCCTAGTCCTTGGCTCTCACAGTGGTATTCTCTCATGCAGCTATGTATGCCACAGTTTCATCTACCAACCCTCGATTGGACATGTGGATGGCTTTCATCTCTTGCTGCCACTGTGATGCAATAAACAGCCTTGCACATGAATCATACAGGTTTTGGCCAGTGAGATGCAACTGATTTATAAAAGTATGATTTTTGAGGAGTAAATGTACATGTAAGTGGGCTAGATATTGTACAATTCTATTAGTAGAACTTTGTAATTTTTCCCATAAATGCTTTGGATATTTTCTGTAAAGTTTTTGCTGAGATCTGATCTGCTTTTCAGCTCACTGATCCATCCATCCATCCACTACCCATGTCATGAATTATGTTCTTCTCTATGAGAACACACACACACACACACACACACACACACACCATTGCTCATTGCAAATTTAAGCTACCATTCATTTCTGTAGCAACAATTATAACACTTGCTTACATTGTAACAGCCAAGTTCTTCCATGTAATAAGATTCTCTATTGAAACATAAATTGTATGTAGAGTACCTGAATTACTTAGAAGACATTTTCTAAAAGCTTGTGGGAAAAATTCAAACTGATGAACTATGAGCCTTAATGACTAACAAGTTGCAAAATTATCTTCTGAAGATGTAAGTCTGTTCATAGGAATGAAAAAAGAATGACTGATATAATAAGTTCAAGTAAAGACTAATTTAGGATTACACCTGAAGAAAAGACTTCTGTATAATCATTGCACCATTTTATTCAGGCTGGTTTGACTCACATAGAAAAGGCCATGAAGCACATCTGTACTGCTGTTGAACACATGGCACAATGCTGCCTTAGTTCCCAGGCCTCATATTAATTCCTTCTTTAAATTGGAAACATTCTTACTCACCACAAGGTTTGGTTACAATAAAAGTTGAGATCTGACTTTTCACAGTGAATTAAAATGAGGCTATTAAAAGGAGCAACCGGCATTAAGTCCAGAGCATTGAATTTGTGTTTTTCCAGTGATTTGTCAGGAAATCATAACATCTCAACACAGCTACTGTTAAACTCCAGAGTGAGAAACTCGTCATTCATGCATATTACTTAATTACTTAACTTCAAAATATAACTGGATTGTTTGCAACTAAAGAAAACTTGACTGTTTTGGGTCCTATAATAAGGATTCCTTTAGTCAATTAGTAGATATAGGAAACATTTTCCAAATACTAAATAAGCTAAGTCTCACGAGCCCAAGAACCTAATAAAAATAAACCAACATTTTGATAAATATGAAATTTAAGTTCTTAAAAAATATTTTTTTCTTTTGTTTCAGTATTGGGGCTTGAACTCTTATTTAGTCCCCCCCACCCCCGCCCCACTCAACGCTACCACACTACGGCTTGAGCCACACTTATAATAGTGGCTTTTTGCTGGTTAACTGAAAACAAGTATCTCAGGTTTTCCTGCCTTGGTCTGGCTTTGAACAAGGATCTTCAAATAACAGCTTTCTGAGCAGCTAGATTATAGGCATGAGCTACTGGTGCCTAGCTACAAAAATCAGTTTGAAAAAAAAAATCAGTTTGAAGCTTGGAATAATACAAGGATTCATTAAAAATTTGCACTTACAAAAGTTAGTAAACCTAACAATAGCAGAACATCTTCAAACCTAACTAATGGTGTACAAGGTTTAGAAAGTACCTGTGAGCAGAAGTTCAGTAAGTTTAATGATCACAGATAAACACTGAGATGGCAATATTTCCCTTACTGATCCTAGAGTCAGTAATTTTAGTGTGATTGCAAATCAAATGGCTTCCAAACCTAGGCTATTGATAAATTTGAAAGATAAACTAACCAGGCACAATTTTTTCTTCACTAATAAGTTTTGAGGCTGAGTATAGTGGTGTACTCTGTAATCTCAGCAAAGCTAAGACAGAGGACTGTAAATTCAAGGTCAGTTCTGAGCAACAGAGCGAGACCTGTCTAAAAGGCCAAACATACATTAATAATGATTTTTGAGACACAGATTGCTGTGCTTTTTGGTGTTACCTGAAACAAGTTGAAGAACAGAAAAGTTCTCTTCTAATGGACATTTTCTACCCTTATACTATTTATACACACTGTTCCTGTGGCTTACATTAAAGTGAAAAGAAACACAAAATTAATGTTTGACGTCGGACTGGTGTGGAGGTACGAAATTAGAAGAGTGATAATACAAAATTTCTTCCTGATACAAATGAATTAATCCAAGCAATTCTTAAAAGGTAAGTTTTCAACACTTCCACTATTTAAACATATTTAAAACATCAATACATATAAAATGTCATGGGTTACATTCTTTAAAGTCTTTAAAATTATGAAGAACCTTTTTATATGTAACTTACTGTTTGTGTGTACGTGTGTGTGTGCACACATGCATGCACATTTACCAGTCCGATGGCTTGAATCCAGGTTCTGGGTGCTGACTCTTAAGAGGCTGGCACTCTTACCACTTTAGCCTCAGCTCCACTTCAAGCTTTTTTTTCTGGTTAACTGAAGAGTCTCATAGACTTTTTCCCCAGGCTGACTTTGAATTGTGATCCTCAAAGCTTAGCCTCCTGAGTAGTTAGGATAACAAGTGTGAGCTACCGATGCCTAGATTCTGCATGCCAATTTTTAAATGTGAGGGACACAGACAATCTTAAAATATTATTTCAAAGGTTCTGTGAGCAAAGAAAAGTCAGACTGTGAGTAACTGGCATCTCTAGGGCTAGAAAGGAAAGCGGTGTGGCTGGCTATAAAACTGTGGCTGCCCATAGAAGTTTAGGAAAACAGTTTGGAAAACGGTAAATCCAGAGAAGAGCTCGCCTGACTCTGGCCAGTGAGACAGAGAGGAAGCTGAATTAATGGACATTTTCCAAAAAAAGCACAGGTAACAGAAGAAGAAGCGACATGTAGTTCCATGAGTCCAACTAGACTACAAAAATCAATTAAATGTAGGAAATGAAGCTCCTCCACAATTTCATCAACTGAAGGTCCTGCAAAACAGCAAGTTCCACCTGGCTAGCGGAGGCACCTGTGGTCTCTCAGTACTCACGTTCATGCCCCTTCCTGCCACTGACTTGGAGGCTTCCTCGTCGCTCTCTGCCCCTGACAGCTGCTCAGCCTGCAACACAGACATGCACCCATACATTAACTCCAGCAAAAACCAGGGAAACAAGAACAGGAGTATGAGGATAACACACTGTCTTCAGCAATCACGAAGGGAAGAAATGCATTATGGCCACACTTCAAGGCAGCAGAATTTGCAACCGAATTTGGTGGTGGTCCCTTGTTTTCCCCTCAGCTTATAAACAGGAATGCTGATTTCAATCAGCTCCACACCACAGTGTTTCCTCCTTTGAAAATCATAATGTCTACATGCAAAGCTCATGGGAATGAATTTTATCTCTGTTCTCTTTTTGCCCAAAGCATCTCTTTTAGCTTAGAAAACATAATACAGAATTTGCCAAGTGCTGCCTGATGGCTCATTTCCATAATCCTAGCTACTGAAGAGGCTGAAATCTGAGGACCTCTGTGTGAAGCCAGTCTGAGCAGGAAAGTTTGTGAGACCTCAACCCCAATTAACCACCAAAAAGCTGGAAGTAGAGCTGTGACACAAATGGTAGAGTATCAGCTTAATGCTAGTACCCTAAAGCTAAGGTATAACACCCCAGGCCCTGAATTCATGCCCAGGTCCAGTACACACACACACACACACACACACCCTCACTCACACTCACACACACACACACACAAAAAGGGCCTCAACTGATAGGTTGGAGTTAGTGAAGTAGACTAATTCATTATCTAGGCTTTGAAGATTTTACAGTTTTAATATTTACATAGGTAAGTAACTGGGTATATAGTCAGAAATAATTTAACAAACAGTGAACTCCCTGTTCATAAAAGCAAATGATAATAATAGGACTAGCCACATAACAGTGTGAAGAGAATTGGAAAATTTAATTTCCAGGCCCCAATTTGGCTTCCTGATGATCATCTTTGGGGACTTGACCAAAGATTCTTAGTTCTTTTAGAAGAACTGCTTTAAGAAAATAAACAATAATGTCATAATGGTACAAAACTACCACACTTACAATCACTGAAACATAAAGAACTTAAAACAAAGAAAGATATTTACCCTTATTTACTTCAACAAAAAGTTATGTACCCATAAGTGTATTCTCTATTGAGCATTTATAAATATGCACACATTCACACATACAATCACAATGCACACACATGTATATTTCTTCCTTAAATGAAATATACAGAAGAGTCACTTTCATGTAGATGCCTTGATAAATCCCCATTCTTTAGAGTTCATTTTCTACTAAAATATTTTAGGACTTTTAGGGTTCATTTTTTGAGCTATTTACGTCAAACACCTTTCATTGATGAAATAAAAAAATGAAGAGAAGTAGCTAAGAAGGTATTGGGTAAGACCACATGCATCACACAAGTAATCTAATACAGTCAAGACTCTGATAAGGAAATGTCCACAACATGCTGAAATTAAATGGAATAAGGAATGTTGATAGCACGTAAGAAATAACTCCATGATAGAGAAAAGACATGGCATGGCATGAAGAATATCATAGAAGAATCCCTAGGCCAGCACCAAAAGGAGTGAAGAACAAGCTGAGGAATGTAAACAGGAGGCCTCTGAGAGTCAGGCATCTGTGTGTGTTGAACTTTCCCCATATAGAAGAAAGCACAGGCTGGCTTCCCATGCAGAGAGAGCCCTGGGTCTAATCCTGGGATTCTGGGCAAGGTATTTGATTTCTCCAAGCTCAACATCTCCACCAGTAAGTCTAGGATGCATCACAATTCTAACCCTTTGGGCTCCTGAAGGTCAGGAACTGTGTTGTCTCTGTCTAGCCTCAGGGAGAGGCACAGATCCTTGCAGTGCTGCTGGGATGCTTGGACAGATGCACACATCAATCCCTGCTACTTGTAAAACCACACAGGTGACAACACATCCCCACTAAGCTTGTGGGATTGAAGCCTATCATTCATTACAATGCATTTGTCATCTTTAGTCTCATTTAGTACTAAGGGAAAGTACTAGGTATTAGCAAAATACATTATTTGACAGAGATAATGAGCATGTTATCTGAGGAAGCCATTTATGATTTTGAGATTTTAAAACTGATTAAGTATTCATCATTTTATTCTTTGTACTATGACTTTACATTATTCTATAATGCATCTATGACATGACGTATACTTTAAACATGACATGACTTTGAAGATATTTAATAATCAGCAAGATCCATAAAAATAATATATTGTATACTCCCAAGGAACACCTAAAAACAATATCAAATGGAGCAGTTCCTCAAGGATACTCTTTTCTAGGAAACAGTTTTAATTCCAGCCTCTTTAGACTTCAAATATGAAGTTTGAAAATGGTGTTGACCATGGTATTTTAACTTAACCAACACATACATTTGCTCATTCACTACCCAAAGGCTGTGTGCTAAGGTTCACCACATGCCAGATTGAAGCATGTACCTGGCAAAGACAGGACTTACAGGCCTGGCCTTCAGCATCCATGGGCTTTGATATCTACAAGTAACTGATACACCTGCATCCTAGATCACTGATCCACAGATCAAGTATAGGGTACAAGGTCAAGTCATTTCTGTGCATTCTTTTGTCCTTAGGGAGTTGCCTTCTCTAAACATACTGATTTAGAAAAATTACAAGATAGATTCCTTGTAGCTATCTCAAGAAACCATTTTACATCATGTAAAATCACATTACCTTACTACTGCTTCTTTTATTGACCTTGAAAAAGCCCAGAAATTTCTTCTTCTCTTTATCTGTCTCATCATTGCCAAGTGATGATTTTCTTAATGTTTCTGGAGGAAAAAAAGAAGCAATAAGTTATTTTTTCAGTACTTGAAACACAAACTAAATGCTTTGTTTATAAAGTCGTAAGCAGGTTTGCAAGAGTGGCTCAACTGGTAGAGTGCCAGTCCAGCAAGCAAGCCCAGTGAGCTTGAGATCCTCAGTTCAAATCCTGGTATCAGTTCTCCAAAAGAGAGTGAGGGGGAAGGGAGAGAAAGAGAGAAATAGATGATAGACACATAAATTAATTAAATAACAGTGTTAAATGAATCATTTAAACTGTTACTTCTCAAAGGGAAAAATCCTTACTGTTTCTTTCAAAACATTAGTTTCTGCCCCCAAATACCCAGGTCCTTATAGAAATTACTACAAGTTCTCATACTGTCTTTCAGTGATTTCAGTAATCGCTAGGTAAGGCTGTGCCTTGCAGAAAATGGAAAAGAGCAATCCAACCAAGTTCCAAAGTTGTGCTGCCCACTGAAAAGATGAAGCAAATCACATGTGTAATTTGCTGGCAGTGCATTTAGAAGTACCAGGTGAAATTAATTCTAACTATAGTTATTTAACCCAATATATCTTAAACATTATCATTCCATCACAAAACTGATATCAAAGTTACTTTTGTTTAATATTCGTAGTAGTGCTAAGTCTTGGAAATCCAGTGTTTAACTCAGGCTGACAGCACATCTCCACCCAGAATGACTACTTTAAATTCCTAGAGCCACATGTAACCTGAGGTGGCCCAAGTGAACAGCACAGCTCTCAGAGCATCTGCTATAAGAACCATGAGTTAGGGAAACATGCAAACTACATTAAAAAAATCAAGAGCCTTCCTGCTCTTTTTTGAACATCGAGTACCAGAGCAATGACTTGTCCAGTCCTAGTGGTATTTAGATCTCCTGGGATGCTCATTTCCAAATTTCTCTCCTTTGTAATTTTCCAGTGGGGCAACTGTTTTTGTCTCTTGTTGCAATTAGGTCCTTCATCTCCCTTTCTTGGTGTTTTTTTTTCCTTCTTTTTTCTTTAAATAAGGATTTTAGCAGCAGGATAGGTTGAGAAACCTATCCTCTGAGACCAAGATCTCGAGGGCAGCTGACAGCCAGCTGATGGCTGTGGTGCCTTAGAGAGACGGGATTGTCATCTGTCAAGATACCACTGAGAGCTTATAGATGCAATCCTCATCCCCACCAGGCCTCCCAAATCAGAACTCCTGAGTCCAGAGCTAGCTGACATTGCTAACTAACTCAAACAATATGGGGAAAGGCCCCCCGTGCAGCTGGTGTGAAAGCTATTGTCAAAGTACCACATGGGAGGCAGAGTCTCCCATGCTTCTGCTCCTTCTTCTGCAAACTGGCCTCTGGCCGGATCACTGTGAGCCAGTGCTCTGTGCCTGGCACAGTCCAGCTCATGACTGATTGTCATTATTCATTTGTTTGCTTACAAAGGCTATTCTGGCCTTTTGCCATTCAGTCACCCAATTCTTCTCTTTCAAATCACACAGCTAGGACAGAGAATAGAAAGCAGAGGTGTTTTCTCAAAGGACAAAATATGCATTTCTATTTATTACTGCCAATTGCCAGTCAGACAGGCTGCTAGTGCACTGACAGAAAAATTTCAGATTGGCATTTACAAACTCTGACACTGGTATATCAACCCAAACACTGACCACCCATCAATGTCTGTGCCTACTAATGCTTGATTTCATATTTTAGTTAGAGAACAACACAAAGGCATGCATTAGTAAACTCTGCCTGTCTACCCAACAGAGCAAATCCAAGCCCACATGTTCCTTCAGCCATTCCACAGGGGGCAAAGGCCCCTGTCCTATTCACAAGGCTCTCAATGACATGCAAGGGTCACCTGCTAAAGGGAGTAGTGAGCTCTACATCTCAGAACATCAAATGAAGGAACCTCCATACCATGTGGCTCCACAGATCCGCATGTGCACACACACTCCCAAGTTAATCACAGCAAATCACTCAGGTACAGATGACAAAGAGCAATGTGTATTTTATCAAAGAATAATACCACATCAAAACTATGCATTAATGTATCTATTTCTAGTCCGTGTTGTTTCTAGAATTGAGTGGTAAGTGCATGAGTATACTGAAATAGATAATACTGTAGTAATCAACAGAAACCAAGCCTCTTTGTTTCTGTTCCTGATAAGGACAGAGGGTGATCCTAGGGTAGAGGTCATCCCTGCAGAAGGTTTAGGTACTTGGCACCAGAGCTGACTCACAGAGGTAAGGGTGGCAGGGGCTCAAAACTCACCATCCCCAGATAGGCCTTGGTTAATGGTCTATTTTTAGAGTGGCTTTGCTGATGCTCCGTGGAACTCCTGAGAGACCTTTGAGGTAAGGAGGACACTGCAGAAGTTTTGTGGGAGAGCAATGTGAAAAAACTCAGTGGTGGCATCTGGTGACACCTCCACTGATGCTCACTTGTTCTGTTGAGAAGCATGGACAGTGATAGGTAATGTGCCTCACAGAACATCCATGGGAAGAGCTAGAATTCATGGCTCCACATGGATGGTTAGTTTTACCATGAAATCTCTTTCATTCGAATGGACTCTAATCTACAAGATATTAAATATTCACCAAGGAGTTTACTGGTAGAGTCACATTTAATCCATAGGAAATTTCTTCCTGTTTGGAATCATCCAAGTGATAGAAAATGATCAAAGTGAGTGAGTGGGGGAGCCAGGAAAGGAGTAAAATCAGCTGAAAGATCAACTAGTCTAAGGTATTTGTTTGTCCAGATGAGAAAATTGAAAGTCAGGGCAGTTTAGTGACCAGAGTAAGGCCTGTAAGCAGCTATGTGGAAAAGGAAGGCCCAATGGACATTTCCAAATACTCATGAGGGCATTCTTATCCAAGGTCTGTGTGTAAGTTCCAATCAGCAACACTCGATTGCTCTCATGAGGTAATAAAGGAACAATTAGCTCTTCTGTTCTCGTTTCCCTGTTCTCAGTCTGTCCAAATCCCCAAGAAAAAAATCATCCAAAAGCCTTTATATATGTGGATCCTGCTAACTCAACTGCTTCCTTGTGTGCTTCTCAGGAAAGAATGCATATTGTCTGAGCATCCTTCAGCAGCAGGGAGAGGGAAGAACAGAAATACATGGTAATCAAAGGGCCTACCAGGCACTCATACACAGATCCATCATACTCCAAGCTCTAGACCAATGCAGAGTTCTTTCAGGAAAGTTTTTTTAAAAAATGACTATTAAGTACTTTAAAAAACATGGACGAACTTTCTGTGGAATATGAAATTTAATCAAATTTTAATTAAACTTCTGGGGTATAGATGCATATATGGATGGACTACTGCCCAAAAGGCTCATCGAACTCTCAGAAGATGGCCGGGTGCAGCTGGCTCATGCCTGTAATCCGGGCTGCTCTGAGGCTAAAATCCGAGGATCTCAGTTCAAAGCAAGCCTAGGTAGACAAATCCAAAAGACTTCTTGCCCCAATTGTGACCATCTCAACAGATGTGTGATGTGTGAATATACACACATATATATACACATATATAAGTGTGTATTTATTATATGTATATATGCCTATATAAGGTACACATTTGTAAATACATGGATATCTCTTTCCCTTCCAGACATGCATAGAAAGAAAATTTCTAAGAAACACATGTCAAAATAAAAACTAAATCTGGACTAGCCATCTGCATACTTGTCACAGCCCATTTGGCTCAAATGCTATAGTATGCATGATGGACCTGGCATAAGAGGTAAGTACAGGCAGGCAGAGAGGAAAAGGCACCAACCAGTGTCTTTAATCCAAGTATCACTGTATTCTATCCTGAAATTCTGAGCAGAAGTTGTTTTCTACAATATCATCCCTCATTTCTCACCCACTAGAACCACACAGAAAATTCTTCCACAAGGGGTATTCTTATTTAAATCAACCAGGAAACCAAAGAGCTAAACCATAACCTTAGGATGGCCAGACAAGCGCCCCAGAGATGCCTCAAGCCACACTCAATTCCTTCCCATTCTGCACACAATTGCCCTGGGCCATGCATGGTGCAGCCTGTGGGCTCACTGTACCTCGGCAGCTCAAGGAAGGCTCCGACTGGGTTTTGGTCAGAAGAACTGAAAAGGCAAACAACAAGAGAGTGAGGATCAACTATGACTTCTTGTGGCCATGTGGACCAAAGACCCAGCAGCCTCTCTGGAAGTCTGGGAGATGACTGTAGTGATGAGTCCCGAACTCAGCTGGACTGTGCGCACCTGCAGACCTAGCCCCACAAGCTCCACTGTCTCAAGCTGCCAGGCCCACTGTAAACACAAGGGGGCAGCAAAGCCTGTGTTGCTTAAAGCTGCCACAGGCAAGAATTCTAGAAGAGGTATGTCTGCCAGCAGCATTTGTGCCAGCTGCCTTTCCCATTCTCCAGGACCTGCAGGGCTTAAAGGAAGTCAACAGGAGCAATGGACAGGTCTGTTCCAAGGGTGCCCTCGCTGATCTGCAGGTCAGCTGCAAGAGAGAAAGAAGCCCTCTATATGGTATGCTTCTTGGTTATTTGAAGGCTCACAGGATGAGGTGAAGGTATGGAAGAGGGATAGTAATCAAAGACATGGCAACTGGCATGGTCCTAGAGAAAGGGATGCTGCTGATCATGGAGCTGGAGGCGGTTCCACCATGGTGTGAGGGGATGAATGCTCAAGGGGTGGGGGAGGGAGGACTCGGGGGCTTGGGAACAGCTATTCCCACCAATCGCAGCAGGACTTTAACACAGCTCACTTGCAGTACCTAACGTATTTGGATGCTTCTGCCCAATGTATGCATCAGCCTGTGAGCTGTGCTCAGTCTCCTGATCCCTTCAACTTCTTCTCCTGTTGTTCAGATCATTGTGGGCTTGCTGTGGGCCTCTCCTTAACAGAGGGAGGTTTGGAATGACTACCTTTCAGGATATGTCTAGGCATAGTCGAGTAATGGAAATTCATTTGTGCAAGCCTTTCCTCCAAGATTTTCAAATGGAGGGTAACATAGCTTTCCCTTTTCCTTCTTTTTCTCTTTTGTCTAACCAAAGCTTTGTTTTTTTTTTAAAAACTCTCATAAAACAAATTTTCATAGAGCCGAGATAAACTGAGATACACCAAAAGCACCCATATCTGTGCAGTGGCTACAGAGACCATTATTGTCTGTCTGGGGTTTAAAGACACTGGGCAGCCAGGTGTCTATAGTTCAAGCCTATACTCCCAGCTACTCAGGAGGTTGAGGATCCTGGTTCAAACCCAAACCCATCCTAGGCAGACAAACTTGAGAGATTCTTTATCTCCCACTGACTAGCAAAAAGGTGGAAATGTTGATACTGGCTCAAGTGGTAAGATACCAGCTTTGATGGAAAAAAAAAACCAAGTGAGAGCTCAATCCTCTGAGTTCAAGACCCAGTTCCAACACAGGCACACACACAAACGTGGAAACTGGGGAGGCTAGCATCTACACAACAAGGCCGTGGGTTCAACCTCCCACGGCCTACATATCAAGATATTTTTTAAAACATAGATGTATTATTCTTAAGTATCAGGACACTTTTCAAGTGAATAAATAAATGTCATGGGAGACTGAGGACTTGCAATCCCCAGGAAGAGGTGGGGGTGATTTTTAGGGGGAAATGTAACCTGTAAAGGGGTCACTCTGATCATTAATTTCATAATACACTTGGTAATAAGAAAAATACATTTTTATTACAAGAAATTATTTGAAAAGCTATGGGAAAATGTAAGAGTGTGTGTGTGTGTATGTGTGTGTGTGTGTGTGTGTATGTGTGTGTGTGTGTGTGTGCGTGCTGGTACTAGGGCTTAAATTCAAGGCCTTCTGTTCAAGGCTAGTGCTCTACCACTTGAGGCACAGTTCCACATGTGGAGTTTTGGTGGTTAGTTGGAGATAAGAGTAACACAGACATTCCTGCCCAGGTTGGCTTCAAACCACAATTTTCACCTCTCAGCCTCCTGAGTATTGAGGTTTATAGGTGTGAGCCATCAGTAACCAATTTGACTGTATATTTTGAATGACTATGTATTTGTAGAATGAGTAACACAGGCAGTAGGTCTAAAATGAGACTTGCTGGAGTTTTATGAAGCCCATCTTACTAATTCTAAGTCCAAGGAACAGAGAGTATATTTGTCTTTGATAGCTGTTAAACAGTCAGCCCTTCATATCCATCAGAAAAATCTGCTCAGGCAATATTTTGGTCTCCGTACCAATGTCAACTCTCAGGCTACCCCACTAAAGGTTCTAATGTACTCAATTCAGGCTAAGTACCAAAGTCATACCATGGATAAGCTGTTACTGGCAACACAACCAGGAAGGGTGGGGTGGTACTAAAGATGTCTTCAGATATTGATCTCGGGAAATACAATTTGGCCAATTTCAGGTGAGAATGGTTTTGGGTACCCGCCGTGTATGAAACCCAGGAGCAGCAATGACAACTGAAAAGGAAACTCTAGAAAATATAGTCAAGAAGTTGCAGTATGGGGTCTAATCTTTTCTTGACATCTGTTTAACAAAGCTCACAAGGAAACAGAAGTAAAAGTTGTGAGTGGAGATGGGAAAGAAGAGGCATACATACAATCACAAGGAATAAAAATAAGGCAAATTTCTTCCCTGCCCATTCAGGGCTGGATAAAACCAGTCAGAGGTGCATGTAAATTCACATGCCTGTTCTAGCTGGTTCCACAGACCTGTAAGGAGAGCCAAGCAGGTTTTGTGCTCCAGCTATGTTACTTCACAGCAAGATACGTATGACACAGGAAGGTCTCACCTCTTCTGTTGTCCCAGGCGTAGAGTTCCTTTATCCCCAACTCATTCAGGGACTTGGACAGCTCCAGCTCCTCCCCAGCAATGTTGTCCCTGAGCAGAACCACGTGATCTGGGCTGACCTCACATTTTGCACAAATGACTGGCAGAATATTTTGCAGCGGCACTTCAGGGCTCACCCTCATGACAGCTTTTTGTGTGCGCAGGTAATTTACTACCAAACGCACAGATTTCTGAAAGAATGACCGAGACACAAAAAGTGTTCTATGAGTTCGTCTTCCATGAAGAGTTCAACCAATTCTAGAATTGAGTGTGGTGGGATTTTTGTGTGGTCCTAATCATTCATTCACAAAATTGGTATGTCCCAGGAAAAATGGCATCATGAATGGTGAAAAATAAATGTCCAGAATATTAGAGGCATCTTAAAAGCATCTTTGAATCTCCTTTACTAATGAAAAAGCAGCCTAACAACACATGGATACATACAGACATGAATGAGGATTCTACATTTAAAATCCAATATAAATACTGTTTTGCAAACATTCTGACCAGACTCTATCATGTCATTGTTATTTTCTTAATAGGTTGGAAATGGTAGGAATAATTTGGCTTAAAAACCTCAGGTGGCTCAGTGGTAGAGTGTTTGCTTTGCATGCTTGAGGCCCTGAGTTCAATTCTTCAGCACCACATAAGCAGAAAAGGCCAGAAGTGGTGCTGTGGCTCAAGTGGTAGAGCGCTAGACTTGAGCTAAAGAGCTGAGGGACAGCACCCAGAGTTCAGGCCTCACAACTGACAAAACAAAACAACCTCATAAAATATCAAGTGCTTGCTTAAGAAGTAAAAGTATCTACATAAATAAAAGACTACTCACAAAATAATACTGCATATGTGGACTGATATATGTATATTTATATGTATATACTATATACATATATTTAAGCCAGAAATATTATCAGGCATAATAATCTGTAAGAAAAAATAATATCTCTGATTAATGCTGACTCAGTGACTACAGATAAATACAGTAGTGTTCTGAGTTTCACCGAGTAAACTTTAATTCAGGCTTGTTAATTACCACATGGTATTAAGAAACTGCAAAGGCAAAAAGAATAAACATGGCACATACAGACAAGTAACAAGGATCTTCCTGGCCTGCATGGTAGGGTGTGAAGGCCATGACAAGGTAGAATTCAGAAGGAAGATGGAACCCATGCCTTTAACTTGGCTACTCCAAAGGGAATCAAATGAACTCCCTGAGGTTAACTGTCCCTGGGGATCAGAAAGGCCACAGGATATGAAGAAGGCTGCTTCTTCCTCTAAGATTTTATTTCAGGAATAAAGGAGAATCTCCTTTGGACTTAGTGTGGATGAGACAAATAAGAGTTCATTCATCACTGAACCCTTTCATAGGAGATGAGCTTTTTAAAAACTGCCTTTTCTATTTTTTTTGGTCAGTTGTGGGGCCTGAACTCTGGGCCTGGGCGCTGTACCTCAGCTCTTCAGCTCAAGGCTAGCACTCTGCCACTTGAGCCACAGTGCCACTTCTGGCTTTTTCTGCTTATGTGGTGCTGAGGAATCAAACCCAGGGTCTCATGCATGCAAAGCAAGCATCCTAGGACTGAGCCACCTTCCCAGGCCATGGAAACTGTGTCAGTACTGGGTTCTGGGGACTGAACTGAACTCAGAGCTTTGCAGTCGCTCTTGTTTTTGTTTTGTTTTGTTTTGTTTCTACTCAGGGCTGGCACTCTATCACTTGAGCTACACATACAATTCTAGCTATTTGCTGATTAATTAGAGATGAGAGTTTCATGGACTTTTCTGCCTGGGCTGGCTTCAAACCATGGTCCTTAGATCACAGCATCCTGCGTAGCTGGGACTACAGATGTAAACTACCAGCACTCAGATGAAACTCTGTTTCTTACAATAAACCCAGTTTGGTGGCTCATTGCCTAGTATCCCAATAAAGAGCATAACAAAGCTCTCTGTATGTAATGATTAGAAGAAGAGCTATGCTAACCTTCCTGGACACCTGGTATATACTCACACATGGGGCCCCCACTGACCTCAGGCACCTTAGGCAGGCCAGGCTTAACTTTCTCTTCAGAACCTTTTTCTTTCAGAAACACTGTGTGCACATTCAAGGTCCCAACCAAAGTATTTGGCTTAAAACTCAAAGGCTGTTGGGTTTCTGAAGACAGGACCTCAAGGATATGATGGGAAGGATTCAGGTGGTTCTGAAGGCAGAGTTCAACAAGCAGGTCCATCATTGCATGGCTGAAAAAGGGAAAACAAAGCATAATTATTAGGAATGTTGGCACTGTGCCGTTGTCCAGCTAAGTAAGGACAGAACAAATGAACTAGCAGTTAAATGAGAAAATTAGATGCTCTTATGAAGAATGACAACAGCAGCTCATTAATTTCTCACACATGACTGTATAGTAATATGTTCACTTTTTCAATACTAGTAAAAAAACAGACTACTGAAAGAAAAAGTTGTAATAATGAATCAAAATTCTAATAGCTGGGAAAATAATTGTATTTCTAGTTAAAGCTATGGCATAATGAATTGAATCACCTAAGTTAGTAGAAAAGATCTTATTTATAGGTATAGCTGGGAAAATAATTGTATTTCTAGTTAAAGCTATGGCATAATGAATTGAATCACCTAAAGTTAGTAGAAAAGATCTTATTTATAGGTACAAGACACTCAATTTTCAATTATTCATAAGTCTCAAGTAACACAAAAATGAAGTTGTAAAATGAAAAAGTTGATTGATAGGTACCATTATAAACAATAATACATAAAATCTGGATAAACTGGAAGACAAATGTGACCTAGTCAAATTGAATAAAGGTAAAATAGAGTGAAATATTCAACTTACACAAATGAAGACACAGCCAGAGGCAGAGCCCAAGTGGTAAAAATGCTGTCTAGCAAGCACTAAGCCCTGAGTTCAAACCCCAGTACCATCAAAATAAGAAAAAAGGAAAGTCTAGAATTCATTTGACTCACAGAAAATTCAAAGACTAATGTCAATGCTTTGACAACTTTTCCAGAAAATGGAAAACACTTTCTAACTCATCTTGTAAATCTACCATCACACTTATACTAAAGACAAACTCGAAAGAGAAGTACAGGCCAATATTTTGATAAACATGAATGGAAAAATTTTTATTAAAATCCTAACCAAGCTGGGTGCCAGTGGCTCACACCTGTAATCCTAGCTATTAGGAGGCTGAGATCTGAGGATTGCAATCCAAAGCTGGGAACTAGTCCATGAGACTCTTATCCCTAATTAAGCACCATAAAGCTGAAAGTGGAGTTGTGGCTCAAGTAATAAAGCATTAGCCTGAGCAGAAAAGCTCAGGGACAGCACAGAAGCTCTTGGATTCAAGCCCCAAGATGGCATATAAAAACAACTTCTGTCCCTGGGATGCAAGGATAGTTCAACATAAATATATCAATGCAATATATCACCAAGTGAGTCATAAAAATAAGTAAAACTACAATCATTCTACTTGGTATGGATGAATTTTGTCATTAGACAAGACTCAACATCCATTCATGATTTTAAAAAAACTTTCCACATAATAGATATGGAAAGAACTTCAATAATAAAAGTCTTTTATGAAAGTTACAAAGCTAACATCATATTCACTGAGGGAATGCGGGAAGTTTTCCTTGGAGGCAGAAATGGATGTTCACTTTCAGCACTGTTATTCAGTATAGTACTGAATCCTAACCAGAAGCACTGCACAAGAAAGTTATATAAAATCATGTATATCAGAAAGACATTCCTTTTTATGTTTGTCAGTGATGATATGGGTGAATTAACCTGAAGGTTCAATGATAACCACACAACATTGTTAAAACTAATAAATTATTTCAGGGAAGTGGCTGGATACAAAATCATAAGTTTCCCAAGCTTTCTCCTCAGTCTGGAGGTGGCTGCACTGAGATCCCAGTAGACACAAGTCTGAGTACAGGTAGTCCAGAGTCAAAGGGTGCCATCTTTAGGTAGACCATCTGCCCTGTAGTGTTTTGCATTTTATTTAAAACTTAGATGCTGGACACATATTATCCTGCCATTAAAATCCCATGACTTTTCCACTACTCTTCAGGAACCCATGTGAAGTTTTTGGCACGTGACTTGTATCCCTTGCCACTCAGCAACATGCCATGGAGGTGTTGCTGGCTGACATTTTAAAACATCAGACCTCAAGTATCCCCCTAGTTCTTTCAAGCTCTTTTGGTGCACTGGAGAAATCCACACAGAGAGAAGGTTGCTCTGACACAGCAGCAACTGCCCAACAATGGACAGAAAAGCACCAGCTGTGGTAGAGTCCCTAGGGTTTTCTCTGCAGATCCATCAGACTCTAACCTGCCTCCTGCCACCTTGGAACAAAGGACTAATGACTTCCCTAAGTGGGTGTTATGTGTATCTCTCCACAAGGTCTTTGTAGGTCACTGGGCCACTGGGCTGTGGGAAGCTTTTCAGGCTGGAGGAGGCTGCCTGGTAGCTCTTAGGACTTCTCACCACCTGCTGGTTCTGGCCTCTGTTCCCCTCCTGGCCAGTTCCCTGTCACATCACATCACATCATGTCACACTCTGAAGGAGCAGCCCCTGTCCCTGATCAACAGCTCTCCACATGCTTCCCTTTAATTAGCCTCATCTCTCCTGAGGCAGCATTGTTGTTAGTGGAGGCATGCAGGGGCAATTTGCCCAGGGTGGGATTCTGGTGCTACTGTGTACTGCTTCTCCAACCTGGGCAACTGGAGGCAACCGCTGTGTACCTGAGTTTTCACGCAAGGAGAGAGCCTACCTTAAGGTAGCCTTAATCTTATGTGAATTAACTGTGAGGAATTGAGCACTCAGCCAGGCCCGGGTCAGTGCTTGCTAAGTAAATGAATTGTTGCTGACCTTTCCATTTGGATACCAGGTAGTGAGACCCTTGCCTAGCTCAAGAAGAGGATCACCTGTCTCTATGTGGCCGAATGCCATCCTGCACTCAGCAAGCACCAAGACATTGGATCCTTCAAAGAAGCATCCTCAGACACTGCAGAGTTGTTTCACCATCTCACAAGGGATGAAACTGAGACAATTCGATCGGGTATGTCAACGTGCTGACAAATGTGAGGAACCTCCCTGGCCTCAATCCCATAGGAACATCGATGCTTTCAGAGACCTGAGAGAAAAGCTTCCATCTCCCCTCCCACAAGTCTCCTCCCCTCCTTCACAGTATCTGACTATATTCAAGTATAAAAGAAAATAGACTGCCCCTAAACCAAGTGTGTTAGTTACCTTTCTTGATGCTGTGAAAACAAAAACAAAAACACCTCATATAGTCAAATATAAGGGGGGGGGGAGATTTACTGTGGCTCACTGGTTCAGAGACTTCAGTCTATAATCCTTGCTTTTGTTGATTATGGGCCCACAGTGAGACAGAACATCATGGCAGTAGGCCTGTGTGAAGGAAGAGGCTGTTCACCTCACAGTGGACAGGAAGAAGAGAAAGACAGAGAGAAATAAAGTGAGGGAAGGAGGGAGGGAGGACCAGGGACCACCTTCTAGGCGTGCTCACTATAATCAACTTCTTTCACCTAGATCCCACTTCCTAAAGTTTTTAGAATGTTCCAAAATGACACCACCAGCTGGGGTCCAAGCGTTCAACAAATGATCTTCTAGGGGACACTTCATATTCAAACCTAAAAGCAGGCAGGGCTGGAGGGCTTATGAGAGCAGAACTCTTTCTTAGGTTTTCTTCAATACCATTTTTTTCTAGGTTCTTTACCCTACTGTTCCCCAAATGTCTTTGACGTGCTCATAAAGTTGAGACAGAATCTGAGGCTTTTTTTGGCACTTGTTAAGGTCTTTTTAATTTAAATATTCTTTTTTTTCCAAATGTACTCTCAAAATAGATGTGCATGGACTTCAAACATTGTTTCTGGATGAGTCGGTAACCTCAATGAGAAACAAACTAGTCTTGTTTCACATATGACTCTTCCTGAAGTCCTAGCACAGAGGTGGACCAAGAAATGAAATGCTTGTGTCACAAATCCCTGCTCAGAGACCAGAGAGCAGATCACAACTGGGACAGAGTCCAGAGGACACGCCCCATGTTTATCCGACCATGCCCACTTAATGAACACCCCTCTTGTAACAGAGGGCATTTCTCTGTGAGTCACGAGCTTGACATCCTGATAGGTCCTGAGCCTTCCTGGGTAGGAAGGAACCTCGTCTGAGGTGATAAAGTTGCTGCTGACTTTTGGGGAGCTGTGTGGTATACAAATCCTCCCATAGTGTCATCTGACCAATGGGAATCGGGGCTCATTCTCAGGACCATATGCCTGAAACCTAGTAAAGCTAGTGAAGCACAATCCTAGGGAAAATCTGGAAGTGTCACACGCAATCCTCCTGGCTTCATTGCTCTGATGAAACTTGCTAGACCCCATCCTAAGGATTTCTAATTCAGTGGGTCTGGGGGAGGGAGGCTAGAAATCCACATTTGCAACAAGGTCCCAGGTGATGCTGCAGGCCCAGGGCACCCACTTTAAGAATGACTGGATTGGTTAAGTATGCAAAATGTGCATGTTTAGTACTTATGTGCGATCAATAAATAATTGTAAAATTTATCATATTTAATCTATCAAATTCCACAAAAGTGAAATACTACCTCTGTATGATTAGTGTATCACCACATTCAAAACAACTACAGCATCTTCTGGGAGGTATTAAGCTCTGGGTTTAGTTAGAGCATGCTGGCCTTTTCCTTTAACTTTATTATTTCCTTATACAATTATTATTTAAGAACTATTAGATAATAGATATTGAAAATCTCTTTCTATGAATCACAGTGGTCTTATTTTCAGCTTCTCTAGGATTTATCAAACACAATACAGACCCACATTTCTTATCTTTGAGAGTATGGGGAGCTAAGTATGTACTGATCAGGTCAGCACAGTGGCCACCTGACATGACACCCAAGTGAGTGAAGGAATTCTGGGAGCTCATACAAAAGGCCAGGCCCTGGGATTCACTTCTCTATCACAAAGCGCTTACCACTATGGACTGGATTTTCCGTTGAAGATATTTCCCTTCAAATGAAGACCAGCCTTCGTATTTTTTCAAATGAAGACACCACTCTACTATTTCTCTTTAGAAAAAGGCCCTCTTTGGTCTGAGAAAGGATGAGCATATTCTTTTCTAAATCAGGGCTTAAACAGTACACCACACTGACAAAAAGTGCAGATTGTTTTAAGCAAAATCTAGCAATCTGACTTCAGCCGGCTCCTGTATTATTAAAGAGTGTAAAATGTAACATAACCAATTCTCCAAACAAGCAGCAGTTTCCCCTGTACAGCCAGCCATCTCTTGAACTGGACACTTCCTAATGTAGAAAGTTCTCATAAAGAAGACTTATTTGTAATTAGATGCTTAGGGGCCCAGTTTGCAAACCAGCTTCTCTTGAATTTAGAAGCATAAATAAAAGTTTATGTCTGTTCATACATGTTTGGACTTCTGGGATATTCTTGAAGAAATGATGTAGTAACTCTGAAGGACAGTGGTACCAGCTCCCTGCAAGCAACTTCAAGGCCAGTGGTCTATCGCTTTAATTAGGGTACACAAGGTAAAGAGAAGAAGGCACTTTCTCTTCAAAGCTGTTCAAAGGAAGCTTCATGAAAGGTGATGAAGCATCGAGAGACTTGGACTATATCTTTGAGGTACAGAAGTTTGAATTTGAGGCCTGTACTTGCTAGGCAGATGCTCTTCTCAATCTCTGACTCCTGAGTAGCTGGAATTAACCAACATTCGCCATTGTACCCAGTAGGCTGTATCATTCTGAATTATATGAATCATTCATATTTACACTGGTTCACAAAGGTAAGAGATAGGGGATAGGAAAAGGCAAGATCCACAATGTTATTTTCTTAACAGGAAAAAAGAGTGATTGGAATGACTATATATATATATATATATATATATATGTATACACATGTACGTGTATGTACACACAAATTCACCAGTGAAATTTCATGCAGATTCTAAAGTCATTTTAAAGCTATGACAATATATTGTACTTCTTTGGGATTTTGTTGTTGTTATTGCTGTTGTTATTTCATACTGGTACTGGACCTTAAACTCAGGGCCTCATGCTCTAGATTGGCTTTATTCCTCAAGGCTGGTATTCAACCACTTAAGCCAAACATCAACTTTTTGATGGTTAACTGAATATGAGTCTCACAGACATTTCTGCCCAAGCTGGCTTTGAACCTCAACTATCAGTTCTCAGCCTACTAAGTACCCAGGATTACTAGCTAGCACCTAGCTATGATGCAATTCTTAAATTATAAGGCTATGTGGGGAATGTTTACTTACAATGACAATAACTTTGTAAAACAGATAAACTCAAAATTTCTTCTAACTCTACTACTTGCTGCAGAAACCCTGGGAGCTAGGCTAGGAAGAGGTTTGGAGGTACTGTTTTCAAGTCTGGTGTCTCCTCTGTTGGGTGGTTGTAGTTACAAGAACCTGAGCCCTACTGCTTGATGATGGCTATAAGAAGGACTTCTGGCCCCAAGAGCAACTTTTATGCCACTCTGGAGGCATCATTTAGATCACTGTGGCCTTACATTCTACAGGTCAAGACATGGTGTACCACAACTCAACAGTCCGGAATGATGCTACTCAAATTTTTCTTCACACATCCCATAAAATAATTTTGAAAACTTATGTACACTTTTTTTTTGTCAGTTATGGGGCTTGAACTCTGAGCCTGGGTGCTGTCCCTGCACTCTTCAGCTCAAGACAAGCACTCCACTGCTTAAGCCACAGCACCACTTCTGATTTTCTAGTGGTTTACTGGAGATAAGAGTCTCACAGACTTTTCTGCCCAGGCTGGCTTTGAACCATGATCCTCAGATCTTAGCCTCCTGAGTAGGATTACAGGTGTGAGCCAAGTGCCTGGCCTTATTTATACTTTTACTGGGGGAGGAGGGCTGGGTGGGGGGCGGGGGGAGGATGGGATGGGAAGGAGAAACAAAGGAGGAGGCTACAATGCTTGATACGAAATGTACTCATTATCTTGCTCATGTAATTGTAACCCTTCTGTACAGTATTTTCACAATAAAAATAAGTAAATAAATAAGTAAATAATAAAAAATTATCTCCTGGGGGACAGGGGTATGGCTTACTGGTAGAGCACTTATCTAGCATTTTCAAAGCCCTGGGTTACATTCTCAATGACATCCACAAAAACAGACCAAAATTATCACCTACAGTTTTCATTCATTAATTAGTTGACTTAAAAAGTAATGTGAGGGGCTGGGAAGGTGGTTCAGTGGTAGAGTGCTTGCCTTGCATGCTTGAGGCCCTGGGTTCATTTCCTCAGCACTACATAAGCAGAAAAAGCTGGAAGTGGCGCTGTGGCTCAAGTAGTAGAGCGCTAGCCCTAAGCTGAAGAGCTGAAGGACAGTGCCCAGGCCCAGAGTTCAGGCTCCATCACTGACAAAAAAACTCCACGAAAGTAATGTGATCAATTAAATTAGTTAATAATCTATTAATTAACCAAATTTGTTAACTGATAGTTTTCAAAGATGGGTTAAATTCAGGTATTATTCAAATACTTTAAAGTAAATACTTCAGGCTGGGAAGGTGGCTCAGTGGTAAAGCGCTTGCCTTGCATGCTTGAGGCCCTGGGTTCGATTCCTCAGCACCCATAAGCAAAAAAACAAGCCGGAAGTGGTGCTGTGGCTCAAGTGGTAGAGCACTAGCCTTGAACTGAAGAGCTTAGGGGCAGTGCCCAGGCTCAGAGTTCAGGCCCACGACCAGACCCGAAATAAAATAAATACTTCACAATAAATAATAAAGTCCTTCCATTACACATTAGAATATAAGTCTGAAAACAAACATACCCAGAATTCTATGTGTTCTTTCATTATTCATTTTAGCAATTTTTGGGCAAATTGCTTTTAAAAAGCTAAATTTTTTATGTCATTTCTTATTCTCCTGGTTTTCCTAGAAATTACAATTTCACTCGCATCTGTACGGGATTTATGAATCTCTTTTTATGCTTGAAAGATTTTTATAATTGATCATTCCACTATAATTCTCTAGCATAAAACATGTAAACATACATAAGGGGTTCTTTTCCCTCATTTAGTTCTTTTCCTATGAATTTGTTCATATTCTTATCATGGACTGAGTTATCAGTCCTCACAATCAGAGTAGTGGGAAATTGCTCAGACAGCACAATGGTGAAGTACTTTTGATCAGTATCAAGGAAACTATGTAACTCCATGGGAAATAGAATTCTTGGTTCCATGAATGGAGGCAGTCCTGCCAGTGCTTCTACATGGCCACTGTAAATAAGGCAGCATGTGACACACCTCCACAGGCTGATTTGTGCTAAGAGGAGGAGTGGGAGCTGAGGATATGGAAACTGAGCCTCTTTTTTAAGTTCAAAATCCATGCATCTTGTTCATCCCTTCATCTAAAGTTCAACTGTTTTCATTACAAAAGTAAAATGCCAAGTACACTTTAATCCTGCAACAGGACATTGGACGTTTGAATGGCTCATTCAGGAAGCTGAAAGACACCAAAGCCAAGGATGTGGGCTACAGACCGAGAATGTTGGGCCAACCCTGAGCCACTAGTCAGCTCCTTATTATGCATGGGACTCTATACCTGCTAACTCATCTAACCAGATGAGTTAGTTCCCCTAAAGGTTACTATGAGTCTAGCTGGGCCACTTAGCACACACTCATTCCAGGTGGGACAAATCCAACAATTTCACAATTCTGCATCTCCTCTTCACTCCTGCACACTTGAGGGAGCTCAGGAGCTCCCAATATATCAGACACTCTTACCTCCCGCTGACCACACTTTGCTTCTCCAGCCCACTGGGCAGAACCACAGTAATGTCCAGGGTGCTATTCTGCAGGGCCTCCTTCATGTGGACCAGATTCTGCTGCGAGCCAAGGGCTGCCTGGCGAGGAAGGTTCTGTTCACAGTGGACACTCAAGGTAGCAGGTTTCCCAGGAGGTGGGGGAGCACGAGATTTCATCTTCCTCCTTGAAAATGACAACACAGAGTACTGGATGAAGTTTTCCTGCTTTCCTAGTATTTAATTCTTCTTTGTTGTTTTTTTTATACTAGTACTGGGGCTTGAACTCAGGACCTGAACACTGTCCCTTAGCTTTATTTTGCTCAATGCTGGCATTTTGCTACTGGAACAACAGCTGCACTTCCAGCTTTTCTTCTTCTTCTTGAGGTAAGAATATCACCCGAATGTTCCTGCCTAGGTTGGCTTCAGACCGTGATCCTCAGATCTCACCCACCTGAATAACAATTCATTCTTTTTTTTTTTTGGCAATGACCTGCATGTCTTTATTCTACAACACGAAGAGTCATGTTGTATCCACCCACCCCCAAATTTTCTCCTTTCATTATTGAAGTCTCAACAATTCAACAGTCAGCAATTCATTCTTATAAGGATTCATGTCTCACAAAAATCTGTAAGTTACAGTCTTTCAAATCAATATATCAGCAGTCTTCAGTGCTAATAGATAATGTCTTCCTTAGACACATAAAAACTAAAGCAGTTCACAAGGAAAAAAACAGAGAAAGCATTTTTAATAACACGTACTCCTGGTGAGAAACATTCTAAAAATGTGGTCACTATGTGTGAACAGCACTGTTCCTTGTACAGTCCCCTGGATCAAGGTGTGGCTGTGTTTGCTTGACCTGGCTCTTTCTGATTTTCTATCCCCAAGTCTAGTAAGAGGACTATAACAAGAAAAAGACATGCCTGGGGGGACAATGGCCACTAGGTTTAAATGGGTTGAGTGTTATGTAACAGGGAATCTTCCCCATAGAGGAAAGTCTGTACAGAAGGAAGTGAGTAATAGCTGGAGAGAGACTGTAGTGTCTCCATTCGCAGGCCCCTGGAATTCTGGCCGTCAGAAACCAAGGCTCTCACCCCAGCCACAAACATGTCCCAGACATGTTGCCATTATTCAGAGTCTATTTAGGGTGATCATCCATGAAGACACTGTGAACAAGGCAATGTGTGATACCTCCACAGGCTGAAAAGTGCCAACAAGAGGCGTGGAATATGAGGGATGGTTCAAACAGCAATGGCCCAGTCTTGGTCCAGCTTCTTCCTAGTGTCAAGGGACTCAATGTTATTCCTCGATTTTATGTCCATCCTTAATGACAGAACAAGAGGCTTAAGAGGACAGTGTTAACATTGGCTCTGAGGCCATTATCTGGATATTGCACAACAGAATATCTCTTCTGCCACTGTGTGTCCAGGTCATCAGGACATACCATTCATTCTATGGCTGTGTATTTCAGGTGAGTCTCAATTTCTACCCAGACAAGATCAGGGGTGACTATAGGACCCTTACCTCTTTCCTAATTCTAATTTTCTAAGTCCTAGGAAAATAAAAGTCCAAAACCACCACCATGATGGACTAAAAGTAAAATTACAAACAAAATAAAAAGCGCTGGTGAGGATGTGGAAAAGCTAAAGTGCTAGTAGGAATATCAATGTTCTTGGCCACCCTTGCTCCTCTGCCTCTTAGACCAATTGCCTCACAACCAGCTGGCTTTGCTGACCAGGCTGCTCAAGGGGAAGGCAAAGTATCTGAGCCTGTAGAGGTTAACTTCCCAGGACAAGGAGTCAGCAAAAGGGACAGGCCTTGCTCTTGTGCCCTTGTGTCTCCCCTGTTGAATGACCATCTACCAGGACTTTTGGAGTAGGGTTAGTCAAGAAGGCACATGTAGGAGACAGAGGCTGTCCCTGGAATGAACCACACCACCTTTGATCAGGTGGCTTTATGTCTGTAGTGATGGCTTACCTGATGACAACTATCCGCCTCTACATATACGGTCATAGTGAGAAATACAAAATTCCCAGAGAGGACCACAGTGGCTTACAGAGTCATTTTCACTCAGGTGTGTCGGCAAGCAAGGGGATCTGCTCAGACACTGTGTTGCTGTGTCTAACTGGGATTCACAAGGCATGGGCAGTTGAGAAAAAGCAGGATTGTTGTGAAACTCTGAGGAAGCCCTGGGGGCTAAGGGCCTTGCTTGGCTCCTCCTGCCATACCAGTGGCAGGTGCTCCCAGCTGATGCCAGGAAGGCATAGAAATCAGCCCTTCCTTCCTCTCTCTCCCACTCAGCAGGGAACAGGCTCTTCAGGGGTGAATCATGCAGCACACAGCTCAAATTCCTTTGGTTCTCCAAAGGGAGAGCTGGGTGTGTCCTGGCAAGAACTATGTATAGAATGCAAGGTGTAACAAACATTTCTAGCATACTCGGGCTCCAAATGTTGTGAATGTAAATCCACTACATATCCACTAGGTCTGAACAAGGTTGACTAATTCTCACATGGGCTAAGCTGTTCTCAGCTTAGGTTCACATTGAGAGCTTCAGAATGCTTGAAATCTCCCTGAAAATCACAGGAGCTAAGACATGGGTGAAATGGCTCAGTGAATGTAAATCTCAGACTCAGGGTATAGGCAGAAGAATTAAAACCAAATTGTATCAGCACAGCAGGCATCTAGGCATACTGGATAGATCCAATGGCACCAAGGTCTACAGACTGAACAGAAACACCTTACATTAGACCAGAGATCAGAAGGCCTCTCCTTATCCTTTCTTCTATCTCTCTAGTTGAAGCCATCAGCTTAGGGACATGAAGGTGTAACAATTTTACCGTCCAAGAGCAATGCACAATGAAGTTGATATTTTGCTGCCACCAGTATCTCTGAGTGATGTATGCTATACTGTACCTGCTGCTCACAGGGAACCTCAGAAAGAACCAGGTGACCCAGCCATCAGGGTTGCTGGCCCATGAAGCAGGCCTGGCTCCATGGTCTGTTTGTGATACTATAGTAGTAGAGTCACTCCTCTCTCCCTGAGGCTCCTCAGGGGTTTGCTTCATCCTGGAAGGGAGCTAATGGCAAACAAGCTATTCCTCTGTTTTGTTTGGCTGTTTAGTACCAACCACATCTCTACATTTGAATTTCCAAGAAAACCAGCCAGGGAGCCAAATGCTATCCCAGAGCAGGCAGGGCTTGTACAGTATTAGGCAAAGGCAACCCCATGTCTAGCACTGGATCCCACACCATTTAACTCTGACATTAATCTGTTTTCGGCTCTTGTTTCCTTAAGAGTTATGAGCCCCTTACCATGTCAAACAATCTATGAACTCCAATCTTCCAAGCACCTTCATATAGCAAGTTTATTATCCCCAATCTCCAGAAATGACTTGGGACCCAATAGGCTAAGCAGGTTTCTTCCAATCACATATCTAGAAAGACTAGAACTATACTCCAGATGCTGCTGAACCTAGAACACCAACCACTGCCTCAAGTACTTCTTAGAATCAAATGACCCTGGGGTTACAAGCAAGCTATGGCAGAAATTCAGACCACAGGACATGTAACCAGAATGCTGGTGCCCCTCTGGGGCAGCTGTAAGAAGAGGATTCCACTAAGGAAACACCTTTTGATGAGATTCCTGGCACACAATCATAGAGATATGCCCTATTCTCTGATGTGGTGTTTGGATATGTCGTGTAAATAGAATTAGAACCCCCAATAACTCTTCTGTGTTAAGGTTGCACAGGGTCAGACACAATGGAGGGGGGGTATCTGTGTTCTTCCTCAGGAAATGATGAGAGGGGTAGAGTCACAGGGAGGCAGAAGGACATGCCCAGGGCTAAGGTCACACAGGTCAGTCCTGAGGACACTTCAATAGTTATAAGGCTCAAAGACTCCTTTAAGCATCTAACCCAAGCCATGGACACCCTTCAAAACCAAGATAATCAAGACTTCTTTCACATATGCATGATTTCTACAAGGCACACTCACCAACTGGGACCCAGGATAAAAATCCCTCTAACATTTTTTCTCCAGGATCAGCACTTTTAAAGCTCAAGGTAATGTTCCTCTAATGAAGGAAGTGGGATGATCAGGAAAATTTTGCAGCCTGCAGGGGAAACTGTGCATAGAGCTGATCACTCCCATGGTGACCTAGGAAACCCAGGAAGATGACTTTACCCATAAAAAAAACTGCATCTCAGGACAAAGGAGGGGGGGGGTCACAGTCTTTGGGAAATCTGCCTAAGGATACCGTGTAAGAGCTGCCAAGCATCTATCACGCTTTGGTTCTTTCTGTGCTGTAGAGCTAGACAGCTGTGAGGTGAAATCAGCCCAGAGAGTGCCAAGTGGCAGGTCTTCCTGCAGGTGATTACTATAATGTGTGAGCCTTAGTTGCCCCAACAGCTCACCAGAGAGAGAGAGATTTGAGTGAAGATTAAATGAGATGACACCTATAACTTTCTGGCACAGCCCCTGTGACTTAGCAGGCTCAATGACTGGTGCCCAATTACAATTATTTTTTTTATTATGATTAGCAGATTTACTTTGGGGAATTAAAAAGGAAAAGAAAATCCTCTTATCTCTAAAGTTTGACTAGAAGCTAGCTCCTCAAGATGCAAAATAAAGGCTCAATTATGCTGCAAATACCTGCAAAACTGAAGAAGAAATTCTATTCACAACAGAACTTCACAGTTTGACCTGGAGGCTGGGGAAGCTTTCAGTTAATCCCACATTAAATGATTAGCTTTCTAGATAGGATTCTCTAAGACATAATAACAGAAGCTATCCATAACTCACCCAAATCCTAAACTACTGAGCCAGTATAGGTGGGAACAGCACTATCTAACCACTCATCACGTAAATATTCAAAGAGGAACATTTGAGAGCCAACTCCCACAGCTATTACTCAACTCCCAGCAGTTAAGAGCCTGGAAGGTGTGGATCACTTGACTATCTTCAAATACCCCACCTTGGGGCTGAGCAGGGCAGCTCCAGCTTTGAGGATCAGATAAAAACTAGAGTTACTGCATTGTGAAATATTACAGAGAAAGGCTATCTTCTTTCAAAAAAAAAAAAAGGCAGTGCTAGTTTACTGAGATTTGAACATTTAAGAATGTTAAGACAAAATGAAATAAATCAGGAGAAAATTGACTGATTCCCAAGCCACCAGGCAACGTCTG